TTCTAGAGCTTAAACAAGGCTCCAAATAAGCTTCAAGCAACCTCAACCCAAAGATGAACCACTTTCATCAGGGATGTCTAGGCAAAGGAGGGGGGTTTCTCTACTTGAATGCACAAAAGGCAAGAGAGAGAGAAGTCTAGAGAGAGAGGACTATAGAGAGAGAGAGAGAGGCTCCCAAACCTTCTAACCTCCCAAACAATAGAGAAGGCCTTCTCTATATAGTAATACAAAAGCTCAAGGACGAAATATCTGATTTAGAGACAGCTAGAGCATTTGGAAGATAGCTAGAGCAAAAAATCTGCAAATTCTGAGCTTTCTAGACATGGGTGGCTGACCGGCTACTTTTGTGGACGACAAGAAATCTTTCTGGCCGACATATGGCCGACAAAGGCTAGTTGTGGCTGACACATGGCCGACAAGCTTCAATAGTGGCTGGAAAGCAAAGACTGGTTTCTAGCCCTGACTTCAATTAGGCATATCTCCTTCATCTGAACTCCTTTGCAGGTCATTCTTGTGTCTAAATTGAAGCCCCAGAAGTAAGCTTTCCAATGGTGGCACATCAAAATTCTAAGTGTGCTAAGAGATATCTCTCTTTTAGTGAAGACTACTCAGTTTCAGTCCAACCGGATTGATGCTTAACTTCAACCAACCATATCTCCCTCATCTGGCCTCGACTTTAGGAGATTCTTGAGTGCAAAATGAAGCCTCGAAAGTCTTCTTTCCAACGGTGGTGGCCTCATAGTTGAAATACAAGTGTACAAATGGATAGGCCTGATTTAGCGAGGGTTGCTCGATTCTCTCTTAACGATTCATTCTCATCTTCTTCCCCAACTTGGTTTCTTCCCTCTCCTCTTCTTTTCTTGAACTCCAAACCCCTAAACAGGATGTTTTAAAGATTCTTTTAGTGAAGACTGCTCAGTTTCAGTCCAATCGGATTGATGCCTAACTTCAACCAGCCATATCTCCCTCATCTAGCCTCGGCTTTAGGAGATTCTTGAGTGTAAAATGAAGCCCCGGAAGTCTTCTTTCCAACGATGGTGGCCTCATAGCTGAAATACAAGTGTACAAATCGATAGGTCTGATTTAGCGAGGGTTGCTCGACTCTCTCTTAACGATTCATTCTCATCTTCTTCCCCAACTTGGTTTCTTCCCTCTCATCTTCTTTTCTTCAACTCCAAACCCCTAAACAAGATGTTTTAAAGATTTTTTTCAAAGAGTTCACCTCTCTTTTATTCATTTCCACTTTGTCCTTGCTCAGTTTACCGAAAAGCGCAACATTTAACGAAATGCAAACCTCAGAACATCGTAGGAACTTTGTTTCAAAAATGTTTTGAAAGAGAGGGTTTTAAGGTCTAAAATCTTTAGTAAAAATAGTTTTAGTTCGAAAATGGGGTGTAAGGTTAGGATTTGACGCTCTCCTTGCCAAAGAAATCGAACCTTTGTACTGCACAACTTTCATCACCAAGTAAACAATCAGTAGTGTTCAAGTCTTAAGGGCGGTCAAAAATGGGGTGTCTACAATATGCCTTCACCAAGGACATAGCTTGGGAGGACTTGGAGCTTAAAGCTTCATTTTTGGTTTCTTGATGTAATTATTTTATTTAAGCCCAGGGCTTCACTCATATTGAGTTTAAAATCATTTTGTTGTAACCAAGTATCATTTTGGAAAGTTGTAGCCAATAAGGCGTTTCATTACTTGGTTTTATTTCTCTTTTACTCTTGTATCTATGCTATATGTTGTAAATTCAAAATCTAGGATTGGGGAATATATATTACATATGTTATCTTTTGTAATGATCAAAGATATAACTAATAGAAGTTATACGATTATTGATCAATTATAGCACTAATATGGGATGGGGTAATGTTAATTAATTCTCAACAAACTATATTCCCTAACCGGATTCACCAGGATATTTATCACATTTCCAGAACAATCATTTTGTTCTCAACAAAAGTAATCTCAATGCATTTCTCAAATGTGGCACGGAATTCAAAACACGTATACATGAAATGTTCAATGATATGCATGCATTTGCAATTGTTTCAATTTTTCCTAATTCATATGCATATTTCTACAACATGTCAGTACAACCCTCCACCGGTTGCCACATTAATTCTCTCTAATTCAATATTTTAAAATAGACAATATATATATATATGTAGAAGATAATTCAATAATTCCCAACAATCTCAAATAGGATATCATCCCCCAACATTTCTCAATAACTCAATGTTTCTCAAAATCTCATCATTTTCAATACATGTGTCCAATATTCAAAACTCTCTACAAATTTCATGAATTTCATCAACAAAATCCCAATTTCAACATTTGCACTTTCTAGGGTTTAAGGAAAAAAAAATGGGGATCTCTCTCTCAAAACACAATTTTCACAAATTCAAAATCATAGGTTACTCGCAAGAGGATCAATTTGAAATTTGATATAAAAAAAATAAAAAAAATTGAGAGTTTCCCCTAATTTGAGCATTTATATACATATAATCGAAGCCCTAATTTCTCAAATGTATTTAACTATCAAAATAACACAAAATGAAACTAAAATACATATACAATGTTAAGAAAATCTCTACCTCAAAAATTAAGATAGAAAATGAAGAATAGCCCCAGATTCGCAACATCATCAGATTTTCAATTCAATCTGTCAAAATGTAGCTCACACCTTTTTCACACTTTTTTTTTTTTTTGGGTATATATCATCACAATTTAAAAAAAAAAACACTAGTTTATATGTTTTTTGTTAACATACACTCTTATGGAACATGTTAATAAAATAGTTAATGAATTTAACTATCTCCACTTGTATGGGGAATGTAAAACACAAGTGAATATAAATTTAATGTTTTTCAAAAACTAATCTTTTTATATATGGACAAAAATACCTTCATTTTTCAGATAACAAAGTTGTCCCATGGAATACCATCATCGTGTATATATATATTAACAAATTATACTATATTAAAGTAGGGTTCTGTTTAAGTGTGCAACCCCCTTAAGGTTGCACACCATATGCAACCCAATTGTTAGCAGTTAGATTACAATAATTGATCAAGACCATTGAATTGTTTAATTGTGAAAAAGTTGAAACCGGGGCAACCGGTTAATGCTTGTATTTGCATGATTGCATCCCACTCACTCTCTGTATTTCGTCCCCATCTCTCTCTGTTCTCCTCTCTGTGTAAGGTTGGGTCAGTGTAACTGTTGATTTCCATTAACAGCGAGAAGCCCCTGCCGGGTTCGTTCCATTGACGAAGCTCTGTAAGGAACAGTATAACGGGCGATTTCCAACAACAACGTAACTACAAGCCTGTGTTGGTTCCATTGCTGAAGTGAAGCCCTTCTCTCCAACTAGATATGAGGTATGGAGCTGTCTCCGTCTCTGTCTCTCTGGCCTCTTCACTTCAGCTATTTTCCGTCAACTAAACCCCCATCCTAACTTCAACCGCTCTACGCTTCGCTCAAACGGAAACCCCTCCATTGGCAACTAACCTTTCTCCTTCTCAAGCAAGTGTTTGTGTTTGCACAAACAACTAAACCATGTGAAAATGTCATGTTTGTGTTTGTGTTAACATTTTTCGGTTATCAAGTAATTGTTTGTACTAATGTCATGTGCAGTATGGCCCGAGCGGAAGTTAAAAGGGAAGGTGATGATTATGACATTCCAAATGAAGCAGATGACATTTGTTTGATGAATGAAAGTCGGGCGAAACCTTATCATGGTTGTGAAGCTGGTCTGAGCAATGAAGAAGCAACCAACATGAACGTTGAAGATGGCGGAGCCGATGTGAAAAAAGAAATGGTTGACGATGCTCATGGCAATGACATGGTTGGTGATGTTGAACGTGCTATTCTGGAACAGAAATTTGATTCGGTCGAAGATGGAGAAGCTTTCTACAATGCGTATGCTAAAGCCAAGGGATTTAGTATACGAAAATCCAGATTTAACACAAATAAAGAGGGAAAGGTCGTTAGTAGGCTGTGGTTGTGTTCAAGGGAAGGTCAGAGATTACCAATATACTTGGACCGTGTTGCTAAGAAGAGTAGAGCTCCCAAGGCACTAACAAGAGTAGGTTGCAAAGCCCAATTTCGCATACGGTACGATGCAGATGCTGGTGAAGGGGGAAAGTATGTTGTGACTCACTTCGTCGCAGACCACAACCATCAATTGGCGGAACAACACTGTGTGATGTATCTGAGGTCACATCGTAGTTTAAACAGCGCTAACAAAGCTCAAGCAATGACTATGCGCAACGTCGGTGTGAAGACTAGCCAAATCATGGACTATATGGTAAATCAATCTGGGTCTTATGAGAATGTTGGTTTCGTCCGTACGGATCTGCACAACCATATTCAAGCCGAACGTAGAGCAGAAGTTGAGGATGGTGATGCGCAGGGTGCATTGGTGTACCTATGTGCAAAACTTGATGTTGATGCACGTTTTTTTTACAAGTATGATGTGTGTAACGATAACAAGTTACAAAATCTATTCTAGGCAGATTCGAAATCGTGGGCCGACTACACAAAGTTTGGTGATATGTTGATATTTGACTCAACTTACAGAACCAATGCATACAAGAAGCCTTTTGTCATGTTGGCTGGTGTGACTAGCCACTTTAGGACCACGATATTTGCATGTGTTTTGCTAGCTAATGAGACAATTGAGACATGCACATGGGTTTTGGAAACATTTGTGGAGGCGATGGGCAATAAAGCACCTGTGTCCGTACTGACAGATGGGGATAAGGCGATACGAGAGGCAATTAGAAGAGTATTTCAAGACGCAAGACATCGATTATATAATTGGCATCTTGGGAAAAATGCTGTTTCAAATGTTCACATAAGTGGCTTTGCACATGCTTTCAAGCAGTGCATGGACATGGAAACGGATGAGACAAAGTTTGAGCATGGCTGGACAACAATGGTCGAAAAATTTGGACTTCAAACCAACAGTTGAGTGTTGGAGACATATGAGAAGCGTCATATGTGGGCTGAGGCATATATGCGTGGACATTTCTTTGCTGGGATGAAGAGCACTCAGCGCTCGGAGTGTATGAATGCTTATTTCAATCCCTTCCTCCAACACAAATTGAAGCTATATGAATTTGGTAGGCACTATGATCGAGCTCTTGCAAGGATAAGGTATAACGAGGCTGGAGATGATGATGAAACAAATAACACTTTTCTGGTATTGATTACTCCATTACAAGATATAGAGAGACATGGAGCTGAGCTATTCACCCGAAATATATTTAGAGTGTTCCGTGATGAAATCTTAGAAGAGGGGAAATTGAATGTCAAGGACGTGTTCCCTTTGCCGGATGGTCAGAAATGCTACTATATTCATAAGTACAAAGTGAAGGACAGATCATGGATAGTAACACACAGTCCAGTGGATGCTGCAATGAGATGTTCTTGCATGAAGTTTGAGTCGTTGGGGCTACCTTGCTGTCACATGATATGTGTTATAATAGCCGAAAATTTAACGCAAATTCCCCCAACTTTTGTGCTGCATAGATGGACAAGGGCTACAAGCAAGGATGGCCAGCAATGGCCTCAACCCTCAATTGATAGCACTACAACACAGACGGCCCGGTATGGGATATTGAGTTCTTCCTATAACGAAATGCGTTTCTATGCCTCACAATCAACAGAAGGTTTCAAAGAGGCTAGGGATGCATGTCTTCCGATGACGAGCCGGATGAAGGAGTTATATGAGAGGAATCTGAACGATGGGAATGGAGACAAAGGGAAACATTCATTCCCTCGACAATTTGGAGTAGAAGATCCTGATGTTGTGAAGACAAAAGGGAACCCGGGATGGGCCTCGTCCAACTATCGAAGACCAAGAAAATGTGGGAATTGCAAATGCATTGGGCACACAAAGCAAACGTGTCCTAAGGTTCGGTTTAGCCGAACAGTGGGTACTAACTCAGATGCAGATACACTCCACATAACTGACCATGAGTACAATGCAGAGTCATTGCCCGTTCGTTGCAAAACTAGGTTGGTGGATCCAAGTACACCGCACATTAAGCAGCGGCGACTATTTTTCGATGCTTCTCCTGATTCCAAGCAGCTTGCGGGCCAATACGGTAGTGTTGAAGCAGCAGTGTGAAAAAATGATTCGACCACAATTGATGAGGTGAATCAGGTAATTGTATAATTTGTATGATTTACTTGTTCCCTTAATTTATTAGGTAGACAGTACTAGCTATTGAAAACACATGGAAATAATGTATGTAGTTTTCATTTTGCACGGATTGCTGTACGTAACGTGTAAATCATTGGTTACGTACAATGCCAGGAAATGGCACAACGTTACCTATGTACAAGGCCACGAGTTGTAAATATCCCATATTGTTTAGAATGATGTTGTCATTTGTGTTTGCAGTGACTTGTCATTTTGAAAACTAATTGAAGGTGAGATATATATGGGTTGTCTGTATTGTTTTGGGTGGGAAATTGGCTTATGTCTGTATTCCAAGATTGCTATTGCGGGTTACTTGTTTGTGTTCCATATTTGGTTGGATCTAACTGAAGGGTTTTTTGCGGTGTGGTTTATCAACTAACGATGTGTTTGGCTTCGTATTGATTTGGTATGACTTGTTTCGGTAAATTAGTATTATATTTCGAGTAAAATACGAATTTTGTCCATGTGGGTTTGCAAAATTACATACCAGCACATGCATTTTGTATATAATCCAAGTGGCAGTTAATTTTGGGTATTACTTGGAGAAAGTAACCCAACGAACTCATTACTTTATCTCCATGCCGATTACTATATGAATTACGAGTTACGAACAGGAGTTGTGAAATTATTTAATGTTTACTATGGGTTTATTGTTAGTAAAATTATGGCGGGCCTATATCGACAGCAACAAAGCAGTAATTTAAAGTTGACAAGTTGAAGAAGAAAATCAAGCAATTGTGGTATTGGTTCAAATGCCTGAAATGGATGAAGATTTCTTTCGATGAACTGATGGTAACAAAGTAGAAAGTAACAAAGTAGAAAGTACAAAGTAAGTTGTTGTGTTGTTGTTCATGTCCTCTCTCTCTCTGCAAACATTCTGCCCTTTATAGCTATTATTTCCCACGACCCCATGATCTGCCGATTCTGCAACTGCTTCTGTGCAACTTCTGTAACTGCATGGCCATTTCCGTGTCTTCAAACCACATAAAGCCTTCACTTGTACCTGTCGAAGTGCATATAATTGAAGTTGCCACTGGTTTTCAAGTTTACCGACATTGAATATATTTTGATTAAATTACAGGGGAAATTAATATTTGGCAGAGTCTGATGATTCAAAGTCAGGGTAGTAACAGTGAGTGGCCAAGTGTTGTGGTTCAGTGGCCCAGTTTTCAAGGATTGTGGTTGTGTTTAGTGGACAATATTCTGTCGATTTTTGTCTTATAATGATGAGGGACATGCCCCACAATGGTGAAAAGGAAGGTCGACAGGGAAGAGTCAATATTTGGCAGAGTGGACTTGAAATTCGAAGTCAGGGAGCAGTTACAGTGGCAGTTATGGTGTAAACGTGTGGGATCATGCAATGATGGGCCACAAAAATAGTATACAGATATCGAAACGAATGATCTCCCTTCTAGGCTTTCCAAGTATACTAAACCTCCACTTCTATCTGTCGATCCCCCTTTTCTTGTGTTTATTTCATGGCCACCAACTGTTTGAAACTTCTGTCGATAGAGCAAGGCTCCTACTTTGTCTCATGCTTCCTCCTGAAAGTGTGCCCACTAACTCATAATGATGAGGGACATGCCCCCACAATGGTGAAAAGGAAGGTTGACGGGGAAGAGTCAATATTTGGCAGAGGGGACTTGAAGATTCGAAGTCAGGGGCAGTTACAGTGGTAGTTATGGTGTAGACGTGTGGGATCATGCAATGATGGGCCACAAAAACAGTATACGGATATCGAAACCAACGATCTCCCTTCTAAGCTTTCCAAGTATACTAAACCTCCACTTCTATCTGTCGATCTCCCTTTTCTTGTGTTTATTTCATGGCCAGAAGCTATTTTAAACTTCTGTCGACAGAGCAAGGCTCCTGCTTTGTCTCATGCTTCCTCCTGAAAGTGTGCCCACTAACTCCATGACTGGTGCTAAAAACTTCCCCCATCACTTCTAGGTGACCCACATGCAGAAAGCCCACTTTGAAGTGGTGTACATTCCTTCAGACTTGGCCACGTGTCCTCGATTAAGTGGACCATCTGTCGATAGAGACTAGCAAAACTTGGTGCAAAGCATGGCCCCCTTGTTCAAGTTAAATATCATATGAATTAACCTTGCGGAAGTGATTGGGACCCCCTCCAATCACCACCTGCACCCCCCCTCCCCACACACACACATGTAGGGGCTGGTGATTGGAGGAGAAAAAAAAAAAGAATTTTTTTTTTAAAAAACTGGCCAATCAGAGAGAGAGGGGTCATGGAGGTGCCCCCTTGGGGGGGTCCAAGTCATATGATATTTAACTTCAACAAGTGGGCCATTGTTTGGGCTCAATAGCAAATTTATTAGTACGGGCCCCATTATAAGCTATAAAAGACCCACCCTTTCAACTTCAAACCACTTCATTTCCCTCTTATTTGAACTCCCCAGACTGTACTCCTTCTTCTCAAGCATTGTCGTTCAAAACCCGAACACCACAAAACCCTAAGCCATGGCGCCGAAAAAATCTCAATCATCACCATCTGAGGAGAACAATGAAGACCTACTCTGCTTCCCAGACCCTATCAGAGCACGTATGGATCCTCTAAAATTTGGTGCAACCCTATTGCCCAGCACAAGCTCTGTCGCTAAGGCTACTCTAGGCCCTACCTTCGTGTCTTACTTCCCAGACAAGCTAGCTCCATACTATCCCCTTGGTAATTGTGAGAACCTTCTTCTCAACCAACCTGGACTTAAGTGGACTAACTGGAATGTCAGCAAAAAACCCACTCAGATCGTGGAGGTTACCAAACTCTGTTTGGCGAAGCTGGGCCAGGAGAATTGAAGGTCACGACGGTGAAGTATGGAAGCACCAGGGCATTAGTGAAGCAATTAGACTGTCGACTAAAAATTATGACATGGACAAAGGGATGATTGCTGCTGCTGCATGCTTTTGGTCGCAATCTTGTAACTCCCTACTGTAACAGCGCCCGCGGAGGGAGGCCTCGTGCTACAGTTCGGACTCTCGATTTGTGTCACGGTTCTTAATCTGAAACTTGACTGGTCTCTCAATCTTGGGCAATCCAATTCATGCTCTCCTTGAGCCTCCAAAAGTGAGCTTTACTTTAAACACTGACATGTGCTATACAGATTTCGCCAAAAAATACAAAGGCAAGCCTAGTTCCCCTGTCCACGACAAAGAAAGAACCGCTTTTCACTTACTTTGGCTTTGTGAGTTTCTTTTTTGTGTCCCTGGGTACAAGGTCACGAAAGAGTACCTCCCCCTTGCCTTGTGTATGCAAGATGGCCAACTTATGGCTTTAGCCCCTTATCTTCTTGCCACCCTTTACATGGCTCTATTTTCCTTTGTCCACAAGAAGATTTCTGGCAACTGTGGTGGCCCCTTCTGGGCTCTTCCAGGCCTGGTTGTATGCCTATTTCCCCGAGGCACGACCCCCACCAGCTAACACCTTGAAACTTGTTTTCTACTCCTATGCTGAGCAACTGCTCACTTATAACAGCCAACCCATCCTCACTTTCAGAAATTAGCTTACCATGTTTTACAACCTTCCTTCGAAGAGACCTTCCAACCTGTACATGCCATTTCAAAACTTTGAATTCTCCTCCAGCAGACTTCGCTTCCTCTTCATAGACCCTTCTGATTTACACAATGAGCAAGTCCAAGAACAAAATGAGACTTGGAGACACATTCTCACCTCTAGACATGTGTTGGTTGGCTGTTCCATATCCTCCGCCAAGATGTCCAATTGCAGTTTTGAGACATACTGTCCCAATCAATGGTCCAGGAAATTAGGTCTTTCCCAATGTATCCTTTATCCTTATTTCCACCCAACCATCCATATGGAGATTGGCTCCAGAATCTTCTTCAAAGATCCTACGCAAGTTGAATCCATTTTGACAGAGAACACCAAACTTTTCCAAGATTTTGGCCCCTTCTTCTTCAAACCTGCTGCGGACTGCTCAACTGCTTTTGACCATTGGTGAGGACTTATGTCTGCCATTATTTTCTGCAAGCCACTTGAAACCTGCCTTCACGACACTTGTATTCATAATCAGGGCCCCATATCCTCGCCTTCCAAGCTTAAGACTGCAGGTATTCTTCATTCATATACTTCATATCCCTGACTATGTCATGCAAATTTTATTTTTTTTCTCTACAACACTAACTTGTTTAGCCTTTGACAGCCAAAATTGGGCCTGCTACTAAACCATAGGGACCAACATAAAGGCAAGGCTCCAATGGATACAACTACTCAGACAAACACCCCCTCAATTCCGAAATTAATGGCATACTCTTTCACAGCCGCGCAAACAGAAGCACAGAGAGGAACTACCACCCGTACCCCTGCCGAGACAGAGGTCACGGCAAAGAAGAGAGAAGAGCCTTCCACTACTCCTGCTCTAACTACAGACCTAAGTGATTGGGATATCCCTCTCAGCCAAATGGTTGGCCAAACAACATCAAATCCTTCAGGGCAGCTCTACCAAGTATGCCTTTACTTTACATATTTACATCATCTCAATTTCTATTCACGCCCGACTGATCACTTACTTTTGTGCAGAGAAAAAGAAGGAGATTACTCCTTACTGCTGCTGATGATAAGGATTCTTCCACTTCTCCTCAACACATTCATCCAATTCCCAGTCCCATCAGCAATGTACCCAGAGAACCCACTGTACAACCAACTCCACCACCACCTGAAGCATCGCAACAAACTTCCTTACAACCTGCTTCACAGTCTTCGCCACAGCAATCTACACAATCTGCATCACAACATCCTTCCACTTCTCCTCAACACATTGTCCCTTCTGTCTTTAGCCCCCAACCATCACCATTCAACCCCTCCAATTCCCAAACTTCAAACAAAGAATTAGAGAGGATTGAATTTGACATTTCAATCAACAGCCAATCCTCTCCAACAGATGACAATACAA